TTTTTTTTTTAGATAATCAATCAGTCAGGGGTGTCTCTTATTATTATGTGATGGCCAGAAAAAAGAAGTGAATGCGGTGAATGCATAGAAATAATATAGGGTACTTGAGTTCGAAAGGAGAAACTCAAATGAAAGAGAGAAGCGCTTGTAGAACGTATAGAAAATAATGAATTCAAAAAGAAAAAAGTCCGTTACTTAGGTTTGTTGGAAAATGTAAGAGTACGCCGTGCTGGCTTCGTGCATCGCCAGCGCTATGAAAAGTTTTTATTGCGCTATAAAATGATTTCCCAATACACTTGGCCTAACTTTCGTGCCGGTAATGAAAGAGATGGTGTAAGAATATTAATCGATGAAAAAGGTTTCAGTGACGATGTAAAGTGCGGTCATACAAAAGTTAGCATATTCGACCTGATATGAAATGCGCGAACGGTTTGTTAGTCTTTCTTCTTAACTTTTACATTTTTCGGCAATTCTCAAATTAGTGAAACGAAGTGCTCTAGCAGTTATTGACAGCAGTATTTGTACAAAAATTACCTGATAACAGTATTAATTCATAAATAAACATTGATATGAATCCATATGAAAATTCAAATCTGTATGTGTTCAAATATTTTTGACGAATTTGAAAAAAAATCGCACATATCTTTTTAATAGCTCGTGATTTAGCGCTTGCAACGGTTTAAAATATAGCCCTAACTCTTTTGTTACTGTATTATATCCGATCAATTATTGCGTGAAATGGGAAAATATTTCTTGTTTTAATTAAGTTTTGCTTTATTTATCTCCTTCCACTCTTTTTATTTTTAAATTAATAACTGTGTTTAAAAACAAAGCTCTTCTAACCATGTTATGTTAAGTGCTGCCATCCTTTTTAGTTAAAGCTTCAGAGTGTAAGCTTAAAAGTTTCATTGATATGACAACCGAATTAATTTCATATTTATCATAAGTTAGATGCTCCATAAATATGTCACTTGCTTTTTCTATTCAATAAATAAATAATTCTTGCATTTAAAGTTGTGCTAAATATTTATCAAAGACATTAGTTAGAGGAAAGTTACCTAAAAAGAATAAAAATAATAATAATCATAATGATAAGAAAATGATAGAACGCGCTTAGAAAAAAAACTATAAAGTTATAAAATAATTATATTGTAATATAGTCATTAAAAACAAAAAAAAAAAACAAAATTGAAAAAAAATAACAAAACAGTGCGAACTTCACCATCATCTCGAGCTCAAATGAGAAAATCGATATTTTCTTACCTTACTATTAAAGACATACGACTTTTTTTTATTGTGATTAAATATCTGGAAATTTAAATAAAATAAAAAACAACAAAATGCTTACAAATTTTTAAAACAGACGACTTTACTAAACACAACCACACAAATGTATTTATTGTGAAAATTACAATAACGTTTTAAAGTAGATAACTTCCCCACCTTCACGTTTCATTTATTAAAAGGTGGTAATACTAGGTGAGTGTATGTACAGAAAAAAAGGTTGTTAAAAATCCGTTATACACATATAATAACCACTCAACGACATACTGAAAATATATATATATATATATATATATATATATATATATATATATTTATATATATGCACCTGTTGACAAAATACTATTAAGTGATTGCTTTGTTTGTGATCCCTTGATATTATGCAAATGCGTTTCCCCATCCACGTTTGTTTGGAAGGGTGTGGTATTTCGTTCTTTAGGACTTCAAATTTTAACAAAAGTAATATAGGTCAGCACTTAAGTAGTATACACAAGTAAACACTCATGTACCCACACGCACACAAAGTTTAAACTTGTATAAATCAAATTCTGTGTA